CCAAAAAAATGATCTAGACAAAATTTCATGACAATTGGTCGATAAATTTAATTTAATGACTGCACCGTACAGCGTTCATTCGCCTGGTGGTTTATTTAAACAATAAATATATTTTAGTTACAATATGAACTAAAATTTAATCTTACCAAGGGATTTGGTCCAAATATTACCTTTCAAAATAATCCACAGTGTCTAAAGTCCATTCAACTTTCGCTAAAAATTAATTGGCCGGAATTTAAAACACCACTGAATTGAAATTTACAATGGAAATGTTCTTTAATAGCAAATAAGTGTCGGTTATAACGCGACCGATATGCACGGTGAATTTGTGTTGTACCGTATTTCTATTTTCTTGTCTTAATATTCGTATGCAACTTAGTTAATAAGATTATAATCCGGATTAGCTTTAATTTCAATAATGCAACCGATTGAGTAATATCAAATATGATAGAAACCGATTTACTGTTCAATGGTCATAGCAAACCTAACATAACCTAACTTGATCGATCAACTAACGGTGGGCGCCTGTGTATTCGATTCTAACCTGTAGACCACGTGTCCGAATGGTTGTATCACAATTGATATTCGTCAGCTCTCGCAAATGTCCAGCGGCCGTGAATATCCAACAAATTCGTCTTTAAATGCTTCGTTTGTGATGTGATCCGGGTTGTTATTCGACTCTCGATGCGTTCGATAAATGGTGTGATCTCGTTATGTATTCAGTCCCAGGCCAGGCGCACTAACAATTCATTCGTTTACAAATTAATTCCGGTGTATTTGTGTATGCCAATCGATGTTCTCAATAACGAATCTACTTACGCTTAAGGCTGCGAATCTTAACCACAAAATGTATCTCTTCTTGACTTTCGGTTCTTTTTCTGTCTTATCAATATTATCCGGGTATTTCTCTTTAACTTTTATCGTTTGATTTAATTTTCCACTGTCACACGATATGCTGTAAGTCCTTTCGTCAATGTGAATCGGTCCGTCGTTCAAAAATGCGTGTGTTCGCATTCACAGTAAGACACAGAAGAGAGCGTTTTAACGTGTCAGTTTTGACAGGTCGGTTGTTGTTGTTGTTGCGTAATTCACATTGTCACAAACATTTTACAGCAGTTCGTGTGGCCGTGTTTTGGTACTAAAATGCCATCGGTATATACTATTTTTATCTCAATTCAGTGCTTACCAAAATTCACCGGTAATTTATACATTTAAACATGACTGTAAATAGTGGAATTTACAAATGAAACTTTTTATCAGTTCAAATATTAAATTTCTTTTAGATAATAATTTTAGTTATGTAATTGATTAATAATTTTGGTAGCTTCACAATTATTCTCTATTCTGTTTTAAATAATTCTCAATTCTTTGCTTAATTATTTTTAGATTTACATTTAATTCAATTAATTTAATATCACTGTTTCTTAATGTTTTGCTATAGAATTCATTGAAAGTAGTAAGCATGTAATTAATTGGTTCATATAATGTGTAATCATTTCTCCTAATTGGAATTTTAAACAATGGTGGCAAGCGTGTATTGTGTTGTGGTATATAATATTCCATACAACTCGAAATATGATTTGATGTCAAATCTCCATTGATTATGCTGAAGATAAATGATATTTGAGCTATTTTACGTCTCTCTTCAAGCGTTATCATTTGTAAAAATAGTAAACGATGTTCATATTTCGGCAATTTGAAGCTGTTCCATTCCATCCTTCTGAGCGCGTATAATAAAAATTGCTTTTGTATTGATTCAATTCTTATGGTTAAATTATTGTGATGTGGATTCCAAATTTGAGATGCATATTCGATGATTGGTAAAACAAACGCATTGTAAAGGCGTTTTATGGTCCAGGGGTCATCAAACTCTCTTCCAAAAATTTTAATCCAAGCCAAACGTGACTTTGCTTTTGCCACTATGCATTCAATGTGTGATTTGAAATTCAATTTTTCATCCAGCAGTACACCCAGATCCTTGATTACATTTACTCTCTCAATTATTTCGTCGCCAATTTTATATTCATAAATAAATTTTAATGAATGATGGTACGAAATCATTTTTGTTTTGCTTACGTTCAATTTTAGTTGATTCCTTTCAAAATAATCAACTACAAGATTCAAATTATTCTGTAATATGTCACAATCACTATATGATCTGATGCACTTCGACAGTTTTGTGTCATCCGCAAATGATAAAATACATGATTCTTTGACAACAAACGGCAAATCGATGACAAACATGATGAACAATGTTGCTCCTTTGGGGTAACCTTGGCCCGTTCCAGAAGTAACTTCTATTGGCTTTGATTTTGAATCATTGATCTTGACTATTTGTTTTCTTCCAGACAAATACGATTCGATCCATTTTAGCAATTGCTTGTTTAAACCCATGATGTCTAGCTTTTTAATTAATAGTTTTACGCTTACTGAATCAAAAGCTTTAGCGATGTCCAAATAGATGCTGTCGGTTTGATAGCCGTTTCCAATATTATTTAGCGCTTTCGATGTGAGTTTTGCCAAATTTGTAACAGTTGATCTCCCTTTGATGAATCCATGCTGGCTGTCGTCGATGATCGTCTTTAAATAGTTGTTAATGTGACTTGTTACAATTGAATCGAGTAATTTTGAAATTATGCATTGCAAAGCGACTCCACGATAATTTTCTACTTTGTTTCTGTTACCACTTTTAAAAACTGGTCGCACGAATGATGTTTTCCATATCTGCGGTATACAATTTGATTGAAGTGACTCTCTCAGCAAAATTGTTATTGGATATAATAGTGATGGTAAACAATTCTTAATGAATATATTTGGAATACCATCTGGACCAGAGACAAGATCTAATGGCAATTCTGAAATTTTCTCGCTTACTAAATCGTCTGTGATGTTAATTTCTGGAATCGCTGCACAAATGTTTTGCAATCTCACTGCGTCACTAATGTCGTATTTATTTTCTTCATTGTGTTGACTGTAAGCAGTTGAAAAGTGAGTGGCAAACATTTCAACAATTTGCTGTCGATCTTCGGCCTTGTTACCATTGTACTCCATTTCTGCTGGCAATTCATCGCTTCTGTTCTTTTTTTGATTGACGAAATTGAAAAATATCTTTGGATCTTCGTTGATTAACTGCTCTATCTGTAATTTGTACCCCTTGTATGTTGATCGCGCATTTTGTTTGTACAAGCGACGGATATCGATGTAAATCCTCTTTGTTTCTGCTGAACTGTTTTTCTTCATTTGACGATGTAATTTGTTGACATCTCTCTTTTGGTTCAGTAATGATTTGTCAAACCATTTTGGAATATTTGAATAATTCATTACTTTTCTATTGATATTCGACGAAACGACATTGCTAATTTCATAATAAAATGAATCAAGTTTTTCTTCAAGAGATGGCCTATTTAAAATGGAATCCCAATTCTTTTCCACAAGTTGATCATTTATTTCAACGTATTCAGCGTTCTTGTAATCAAAGAAAATATTATTTGACTTTGGCTGATGTTGAATGTATTCATGAATATTGATTTCAAACGATGGATGATGTGACTCAATGTTCATAAAATGATCCTCGCTAGCATTGCACGAGAAAACATCAATCTCATTCGTCCATATCAAATCCAACATATGACCATTCTGATTGTATTGTTTATTGATTTGATATAAGCCCATTTCATAGCACGTATCGAGAACGACTATTTCTTTTCTACTCGTTGGGTTGATGGCAATGGCAATATCTGGATCAATAGTTTCATCGACAAACCAAACTAAGTTCGGCAAGTTGAAATTTCCAGAAATGAGAAGCACATCGTCTGGCTTGAGCGATGTAGCAATTTCTCTTATTGCATTCATATTGTCAACATATACTTCGTATGGTGAATCTGGACGAATGTAAACTTCAACTAAAATAATGCATTTTTTATTGCTGTTGATTTTCACCCATACTTGTTCAGCACCAAACAATTCACCTGTACCAATCATTTGTGATTTGATTGTTTTGTTCACAGCCACCCTGTTGTCTTTTAACAATTTGCTTTGCTTCAGTATTCATTGATCTGTCACATCGATAAACATTGAAGAATGGCGGGAACACATCTGTTGAAATAATGTATGGATTTAATCTTGATTCACACAACATATAAATACCATATTCCAAGGCCAAAACTTCAGCGATAAATTCCGGCAATCTTGAACGTATTCCATTGATATTTTGCGAAAAAATTATTGGTAATGATGGTTGATTTGTCCGTTTGGAAATGGCATGTTTTGTGGTGCAAATGGAATGGTTTGAATTATTGGCGGTTGAAATGACTGTCTTTTCTGAAATCCTAAAAAACAGCTATAGCACGTACAGTTTGACATGTGAATTTCATTGGATCCATGATGATTTCGGACGAATTGTTGTTGTGGCAGTTGCAGATGGTGTTGCTGTTGATGCCAAATTTGTTGATTCGTTAGTAAATCTTCATTTTCCCAATTCTTTCTCTTTTTGTTTTGCCATTTATTTTGTGGTTCAACGGTGTTTGTGTGTGTCTGTTTATGTTCTTTGTGTTGTGACTCTTGTTTTTGTGTATGATGTTTGTCATGTGATTTACTTTGTGCATTTACTTTGACGTTTTGTGTATTATTTGTCCCATTGGTTTCCTTTTTCCTCTCAACAAATTGCTTTGCGACGTACTCGGGTTGCCACACTTCGTTATTTTTTATTTGATCATAAATTGCACTGTTTAACGTGTTTATTTTAAATGATACAAATTTTTTGTTCTTTCCTTCGTACCGATTCATTTGCAAAATTTCCACGTTAAATTTGTCCGGATCTA